CTGCATGGACTTCACCAGAGCAGAGATAGTGAACTGAGACCAGCCGGCACCTCTAGTTGATGCAATACCCAAGCATCGCTACCTCCATCTCGCTTTGCTTAGCTTCCTGTTGGCTCAGTCGAGCGTCAAGGTCGGTCTTGATGGTCTCCTGGGCTTCCATACCACTCTCCAGTGAGGCGACCAATTCCTGAAGCCCAACTGAGCACCCAAGTGATAGTCGCCATTGACAGTGTACATTCCTCGTTCCTTCACAGAGATGGTCAGTCACTAGAGCGGTCACTCGGATGAGTTCTTCGTCAGAGCTATCGGCAGTCAGCCCATCTGCCCCCTCACAAGACTGGGGCTTCATCAACCCTAACACCCCAACTCTCTATCTATGGAATGAGATATCGGACCTTCTAGTTTCCGTGCGACCTTCCTGGTTTCCTCCACTCCTTGTTCATCGCCCTTCACTCCACACAACCCTTCCCGAGGGCCCTAGAGAGCAACGACGATGACGTTGTGGCCAGTCCGGAGAAGTTCAAACTAACCTCTAGAGCTGAGGCGTCGTCTATGGAGGACTGTTCAACTACGACAATTCGAGCACTCGGGCCTAGATACGGTCTTATATGGCTGCATGGCAAGCTGAACCTCCTTACCCTCCGAGACCAAGCGACCAGTAGTCCCCATCTCTACCGAGGAGTTCTCACTGCTGTCGGGCATGCCTGAACTCCGAGATTTTTCCGCAGGGGCTACCGTGGTCTCAACGGGAGTTCGAGTAGCGGTGGAGTTATCTATTCGAACGATGAAGGAATGCCAACTGGGGCCCAATAGCCTACCCGAACTGACTGACCACGTAAGCGCTGTGTCATCACCCGGCGAAGGCATCATCGGCGCTTGATACCCTTCTCCCTTATCGGCTACCCCACGCCTCTTCCTTGCCTTATACCGGTCCTTCAAACGCTCAGCGAAGGAAGACAGTGCTGTCGTGAGTTTCTATAGAGATCACGTCTTTCCATCTCTCCTCAGACCCCCTCCCCACACTACCTTCTTCTGAGAACCACGCG